CTTGCACATCTAATCAAGTAGTAGAGATCAGCATCACCGTTCGTGTAAGGGTCGGTTTTGCGGGGATCGGGACAGGCAGCGTAGCGCTAAGAGGGCGATTTACCGGCGACGACATCTGCGAGCTAAAGAATAGCATGTCAGCGATCATCCCTAAACTGCAGGCGGGCAGTGACCAGGGGAGTGGGAGATCCTGGATCATTGTTGACGTGCATACCTCTCCGGGCGGGGCACCCTCGATGAAGGAGGATGCCAGTTCAACAGTGGAGGCCATGACCGAAAATACGATCGAGATATTGAATATTGAGCAAGAGATTCAAGCGCGATTGAAGACCTTGAGTAATACTGGAGCTTGAACGTGGTGATTGTTTGGAGAGCCTGCGGAGAGAAAGAGAGCTGTCGGAGGCGGAGAGCGATAAGCACGTGGTCTACTAACTAACTATACATCCAGAACTATGTACGGAGTACGTATAGACAACAACCTTCTGTAAAATGAAATCATTCATAAAATAACATTGAATGTGCCATGAGGTATCTGAAAAGTCGCTGGAATAACGAATGCGTATCTTGCTTGAAATATCCCATATCCAAATAACACCATGCTCTTGAAAACCCTCCCAGAGAAAACAAAATGCCCGTAACGCCGAGAGCGCATAAGGAAGAATATTAAGTTCCGCATAGCAAAGTCAAAAAGCTGCTTTCAATCAATGCTCATGTTCATAAAGCCATCGCTGGCTTCGGTCATCCCTTGCAGGCCGACGCGTTTCACACCTCCAGCATGAGAGATCGTTCTATTGCTTGATTCAGAACTGAGTCGTTCAGAGAACGGTGCACCGAGGCCCGGCTTTGGCGGCGGACCCCAGATGTTTGGGCCCATATCACTGACATTGTGGGAGTGAGTCATCACTGGACTACTCTGAGCACTCACACTGGGCGAGACAGCCCGGCGCTTGAAAAGATTAGGATCAAAGTCATCGTCACGACGCCGCTTGCGACAGATCTCTCCAATACTTGGCATACCCGGGGCATGCGGGGTGGAGGAGCGGGAACGGTGCTTGAAGGATTCCGCGGTAACAGAGCCCATGGTCGTGGGGGGAGTCATATCCATGAACATATCCTCATCTGCCACAGACGAGGGACCACCCTGACGAACCGGGGGTGGGGTTCGGTATCGTCCATCAAACGAGTTCCAAAACTCGACGCCGCCCGAGTTGCGACTGGCTTGCTTGCCAAAAGTATCCGTAGATGCTGTGTCCATTCCCGCTTTGACCGTGGGATCTTCTGTCGTTGTCGAATCAAACGAGGTCGAGGGCTGCAATGATGGGAACTCGCCGAGTGCAGGTGTCGATTCAGGTTCGGTGTCGCGGACCTGCCGGACCACTTCTGCTTCTCGTTTCATGTCGCTATCAACTGGAGCACCCTCTTCCATCAAAGCGGCGCGAATACGCGCAAAGGTCTTGGTCTTGGGCTGTCACTGGGGTTAGCTTCTGGACCGCCTAATCAGAAAGGCGCCAACTTACAAGTAAGCTCCCACGTCGGGTCACCGCGCGACGAATTACTCCCAGTGGACCACCACCTTCCGGGTGTGGAGTGGGAATTGGGCTTCCGCTCCGCGTCGCGCGACTCTCACTATCGTCGCTCATATCGGACAAACGCAGGTCGCGTGTGCCAAAGCTGAGACTCTCTCTGCGTGAATGCGCGGTCTGTCGCGGGGCAAAATAACCACTGGAGTGCTCGACACTCTTCATGATGGGCGGAGAGTGAGGAGTAGGACTAGGCTTTGTACTGTTTCCACTCGCACTGCTGGAGCTGTGGCGACTACGGCCTTTGCGAAACCGCGCGCGTTGGAAACTCATCAAGCTAGCGGCAGCTTGTGAATATCCTCCCATCCACTCGTTGCCAGGGCTCTGCATATTGCTAGCAAACGGACTCGGCGCACTTATGCGAGTCGCCTGCGGCGTATTGATCATAATATCGTCGCGATCAGCCATCGACTCATCTTCCTCCTCGCTACTGCTCGTGTCCGACTCCATCATATTCACACTCGACATGGAGCTTGAGATTGCTGTACGGTCCGCCGGACCCGATGTTGAAAAAGGTGGGACGGATGTTGTTCCAAGTGATCCGCGTCGCTGGGGTATTGCCATTCCCCGCCCTCCAACAGTGGGAGACGAATCCGGGGAAGACTCGGCTAGGGTGGAATGGTGGAGGTTCGTACATGCGCGTGAGAAGTCGAGGCCCCGAGATCGTCGAGGGAGAACAGATCCTGGAGATCCGTAGATATGTGATGGGTCAAGTTTAGGAGAGAGAGGGGCGCAGTTCGTAAGTGATGGTGACAAAGCGGGTTTGGAAGGCAAGCTTATCGAGAGGTTCGAATGAGATGAACTTGATCTTCGAGGTGTTGCTGGGAGAGCGGGTATTGCATTATCGTCTTTGCTTGGTGCCCGACTGAGATCACCAGTGGATGGTTGAGTGGAAGATGTAGGTCTGGATGCATCAGATAACGAACGCGACTTGGGAGAACGCGACGGTTCAAGTTGGTGTTCTAGGTCAGTTTGGTGAGGCTGAGCTAACTGTTGACTGAGTTTGCTTTCAAACCCGTGGGCTGATGTACTGCGCCCTGGCGCTGGAGGTCGCACCTGCGCCATATTCAAGTCACTTTAGTCCGATTTAGCGATAAAGAGTAAGGGCGTACAGTGAAGGGCATCATTCGTCGGCACCGAGGCAGGGAAATGGGGTCAACACCACAATTTATGCCCGTAGAGCACATGCGCTGTGGTTTATAACAAGATATACACAGTATTCGGGTTGATGTGAGGTCTACATTGCATGTAGGTCGCTGGCCCTGAGCGGTTAACGAGATCAGATGACAACGCGCTAACCCCGATCCGGATAAGCCCCTCTGCCGTATACTGTGAGTGATCTATATGTTGTACAATATATTGTACAACTGGAAACTTTCTACGTGAATAGGGATATACAATTGAACTGAGAAGCATGGAATTGATCGATCATTCGATGTTTTTCTAATGCGCAGAGATTCTACATGCTCATTATTGCTCATGCCCTCACGCCAGACTCATGGCATTGCTGATTGGCACCACATGCCATTCCCAATCATTGCACTGATTCTGTGGAGCGGTTCCCTTGATCAAATCTGAATCGCGTGTCTGCCATAACTTGGTGATCACTGCCCGTGTTCTAGCAATGTTCGAGATCGTTGAATCGGCCATTGTTGCCAGGGAACGTAGCACAATCGCTCGTCCCGACCCTGGTTCCATTTCAGACTCCCGGAAGAGCTCATCATCAGATGGGTCAAGCTCCACAGCTGCCACAAAGACTGGCCATGTCACATTGACCAGCGATTTACGATCAAGAAGGTCCGATATGAGTCGCAGAATCTGTCGCACATAACTCTTCACCAAAGGTGTGGTGGGACCAGCACCATGCAGAGAACAGTGTAAGTAAAGCATGGCAGCCAACCGCTTAGCATCTGCAACCAGGGCGAGAATTTCGTCGTCACCCTCTCCCACCTCTTGGACTAAGTTCTCTAGTTGGCGTTCAAGGGAAGCCGCACGTAGTGAGAACGATGCTTTGTCCGCATCAGACGTAATTTGTCTCCTTGTTCGACTCATATCTGTAATTTTGGCCAGGATTGAGACCAATTCAGGACTGCAGCCCATCCAAAGATCGATGTTGCGTTCGTCTGGTTTCCAGTAGTCGGTACCAAACAAGACCTCTTTGGCACAAGCAGTTCGACCCATGACATCCTGGAAGGCAAAGAATTGCTCTGCAAAACTCGTCACAGGATCCGATGGGGCCGTTGACTGCGACAATGGCATTTGCTGTTTTCTTCGCAGTCGGATTAAGTCGTTGGCGCCTTTGAGGTGGATGGTCCATTGTTGATCGCACTTGTCCACTATCTCGTATAAACATAGCATAATCATGATGACCAGTACTTCGGGATCCATGGAGCATGTCAAAGTTCCCTCCGACGAAAGACGTTGACGAAGCTCCCTCAAAGCCTCTGATTTATAACGCAGGCCGATTGCACCATAGCTTGGATTGAGCCTTGACCAGTGGCATGCTCCTAATGCTTGAATGGCTTTGAAAAGCGTAGGAGAAGCCGATAGACAGAATGGAAGAATCACAGAGGCAAACGGTGAAGAAAATGTGGAGCTGGCGGTTGTGCGAGGGCACACTTGTTGAAGATAGTAATCAAATAGCTCGCCGTGCCCAGATTTGGATAGCTCGGGAAACAGCGCAAGAGAGGGCGGAAGGCTTAGGTTGAAATTTGCGCAAAGCGCGCTGAGATGTGGGAAATGTTGCAACCAGGACCAAATTTGGTGGTTTCTGGAAAATGGTGAGTTTGAGCTTTGAGCAACTGAAATCAATGCATTCAACTCGTCGAAGTCAACGTTCACTTCATCTGGGTGTTCAAATGTCGACACACCGCTATTTATGAAGCCCCAAGGGCTAATATTTGGCACTGGGCACCACTCATGCATTTCCGAAGAAAGCGAGCCGTGTGTAGGTTGATTTGTGCCGGTTTTATTCCAAACCCCTGCACGCCCAAAAGCCACTCCACGATTGATGAATTCAGATTCCCATTTCAAAACCAGATTCTTCGTGCATGGCAATCCTTTCTCCCGGCAACGTGTGCAAAGAGGCTTTTTGGTGTCACATCGGACACGGCTCGCCCGGCATTCTTTGCAGCCATCGCGAGATCGGGTCTTCACCGGACCTGTGCGGTCTGCAGCTTTTCTTCGTGGCATACGAGTTCCAATTTTGGATATATAAACTTCACATGGTATGAACTAGCCCCAAAGATATGTGAGATGGATGAAGTTGGCAAAGAAAATTGGGGGTCGCAAGTGGCGAATAAGCGTCTTTGGCCACCCCGCCAAATCTCCACCAATTTACTATGTACTACGATATTCATGGATGTATACGTCAAATGAGTTGGAATAGTTAGAATAGTTGGAATAGTATGAATATTATGCTTAAGCATGATTCTTTTTCCATTCTGCCGCACACTCGCCAAATGTCACAAATTCAACCTCGTCTCCCTGCTGTTTGAGCCACGAAATCATTCGGTCAATCATCCCAACCACATGAGCCATTCCACTAGTATCTGGGTGTAGGATCAAAGGGAAAACAAAGCCTTGCTCGGAATCTTCCTCAATTGATCTTTCGAGAGCCTCACCGTAGAGGAACTCAAATCGCGACCGCCAGTTCTGTTCTATAATACTCGAACTAACAAAACCCTGGGAGTTCTGTGCCGGGAAGTACTGTAGTGGCGTCATATCCTCCATATACCAATTGCACGGGATTTCAACCAGAGTCTGGGGAGTCCTGGCTGATGGGGCAGGGAGGGGCTTCATCCAAGTCGAGGCAGACTTGGAAGGCGAAAAGTCGATGGCCTTAGGCTCTGACATTCGAGGGATAAAGTACAACGACGAATCATGATGCGTGAGAGAGGAATCTGTTCTGAATTCAGTTCCCTGGCAGTCACATATGATATGAGTAAAGTAGTATACCGTATAAAAAACCAAACTCTTCTAGGACTTGAATGGTGTGTGTGCGCAACTGATATAATGGCGCCCTCCATCCTCGAGGTTTCTTTCCGGTCAAGTCGGTTGCCAGCTGCACACATTTGGCGATGACCTCTCTCTCCTGTGATTCAGTCATTTGACTAGAGCCCTCATGCGCATATCCATGGCAGCCGATTTCGGCGCCCGACTGAACAATTGCGTTGGTCTCTTCTGGGAATGATTCCATTGAATGACCGGGCACAAACCAAGTCACCGAGGAACTAATTTCATGTTTTTTAAAGAGGCGCAATAAGCGTGGCACTCCGACTTGAGCTGCAAAAAACCCACTGCTGTAATCGGCGAGATTGGTTGTAGCCGAAGCACCAGTCCCTAGAAAAAGGCAAATCAGAAAAAGCAGTATTTGGGTGTATGTCTATTGTTGGGGGTGGGGGGAGAATATGAGAGAGAGGACTAACCTAGAAAACCGGAGACAGCGTCGAAATCCACAGACAATAAAATTTGGACCTTGACTCGCCTGGAGGAAGACATTTGAATTGGATTTAAGAGTGACATTGTGATCTAAGTAGTGAAAAGGTCAAGGTCAAGGGGTTATAAACAAGACTGAAGTTCAAGCCCTGGAGAACCCGAGAGGGAAAGACGACCCGACGCTTGGATCCACCCCCGCCATAGAGAGAGAGAGAGAGAGAGAGAGGCTCTTCATCCTTTATAACCCCAAGTTTTGTCTTTGTCAACTTTGGAATTCACATTTCAATTGGAAGAGCAACATATGGTTGACTCGGTTTCAACAAGTCTACTCTTATTATCCTCTTGACTTGACACAGCAACATCTAAACTCGGGTTCCCCATAAAGAAGTTGACCGGTTTAAGACCAACCACCATCTTTTCAGATGGCATCACTGGCCAATCCTCGATTCTCGGATTGTGCGTCGATCCAAATGTGTGCCAAATAACAATGTCCTCGTTTCGCACTGCTGACTTGGAGTCCGGGTCATTTCTTCGCTGAGCAATGGCTGAGTTGATCCCTTCGCCGCCAAGGGACTGCATGGTATGTTTTCCAGCCGGGAAAAGCTCGTCATCGTTATAACGGGTGATCCAGATTGCATGGTTTCCATATTCGGATCGCTTTGCATGGAAAGACTCTGGATGGGCCAGTAACAGTTGGCTATAGCATGGAACAAGTTTGAATCCGACCGGCGTACCGGTGATAGTATTGACTTTCGCCTCATTAATGATCTTGAACGTGCGATTCTTGTTAAAATCAAGATATAGTCCCCCTCCTCTGTCACAATCTTCGAATGTGTTGTGTACCCGACCCCGAAAGGATTTCGAACAGATGGGTCGTTAAAGGGCAAAGGGTTGGACTCTTCAACCTGCAACGAGTTTGCAACTCCATCAATCGCAGGATCGATACGAAGAGAGAACAAGTGTTGGTGATATGGCGCAAGGACACCCGGGGCAACGATAGTACCATATCCAACTTCGTCGCCAATGTTGATGGGACTGGTAGACAAGATTCCAGTGGCCCGAACTTCATAATGAATCGAAGCGTCTTGTCCAAAGTGGAAAGCAAAGATATACTCATAGTTGCTGACCGTGATGATTGTCTGCAAGACCAGGATACGTGATCTCGCGACCGCGGCATTTCCTGTGCGGAAGTTCGTGTGCTTCCATAAAATTCCATCATCTTGCTCATGGCAGCAGATGACATTGGGCAATTTCAGTGGTTCTCCCGAGTGAGTGTTGTGCCATCCGTCAAAATACTTGATTAGTCCTAGGCAATCACATCCAAGAGATAAGTTGTTTGCGTTAATTCCAGCACCGTCGTTCCCAAGGTCGAATGCAGCTTTGCGTGGATACGGAGCACGAGGGTCACCATAAGGCACAAACATCTCTGCCAAAGACAGTCGGTAGAAGAGACTCCGACCGTCATAACGGATGTCATGCAATGTGAGACCCTCACGATAGTTGAAACCCACGCGCATAGTCCATTTCTCCCAGGTCAACAGGTTTCCGTGTGACTTGAAGGAAACCCCTTCCGGCTGGACAACCTGGTAGGGCTTGGTGGTTGTGCGCGGTGGTGGTCGCAGACTGGGATGGTATTCACTCATAGCAGTGGAATGGATCTTGCAAGAGTCATATGGCCGTGTTTCTTCATGAACCCTCTCACTCTCAGATGAAGGTAAATGGTAGACCTTGGTCACCTTGAGTTGTTCAGAGACCTCCGCACACAAGTCAAGTGGATATGCGTAATAGTTGGCGTCAGGATTGTCCACCAGTCGCATATAAAACCAACACTATTCATCTATGTTAGCTGGGATTGGAGATATTGCAAATATCGTCGGACATTTACTGACCATGCTAGTCCGCTCCGACATGTCGTTCATGCCATCAGTGGCATAAGCCCACGGTTCAACAACGACCGAGGCCCCTTGAGGTAGCCTCAACTTTTTGACTTCGTTTTGTACCCTTTCGTCTGCCATACAAGCATTCTCAACATCTTTCATGTAAGCCGAGTCAATAAACGAGTGTTTTCCCACAAGGATCTCTCGGTGAACGACAGCACTCCGGTCCAGATCAACCAGAAGCTCGGTGAGTTCATTTGGCCCCGAGTCACTACGAACGATGACTTGGATATGAGCGATACGAGCAGGTCGGGAGACTTGGGGCTGCTCAAGATGTTCTCTCTCCAAGAAGGCTATCATCTCCTGCTTTGGTGGCTCTTTCAAGGTGATGACGCGAAAGTTGAAGCTTTTTCTATGGAGTAGCTCTTGGACAACTTTTGTTGCCTACAATATGGTTAATAGGATGTTTAACTTTTGTTTGATAGAAAGGAGCTACCTTAGTAATTTCCCGGGGTCCAAGCGGATCAAAAGGGTGTGTATCAGACATAATGGAAGTATTTTAAGAGATAAATGGGGATAATGAAGACAATGTGATAAATCTGGGTTTTTATAATTCGACCTGCAAGATATATAAGCTAACAGGTCATACACAAGCCAAGATAACAGGACAATGCACGATATTCGCTAAGATATAAGAATACCCGAAAAGATTGGCTGGTCAACCGCTAAGGTAAAGAATAGCCGGAGGACCGAATATCTTCAATTCCAAAGGTTAGAACGGAGATACATAAATACATATTGGACTCCACTGTGATTTCAATTGTCAACAATGAAGTCGATGAATATGATCATCTGGTTATATAGGATTGAGTTAACTAGGAGCTTGTATACAACATCTTGATAATAGATTCTATTTATAGAACCGAAGGTAACAAGCGTAGCAATCCATCAGGTATGATATTATTGCAATTACTACATAGTATATACTACATATGTAATAATGCTGACGGTAACATTGCCGCTTCGGTTCGCGATCGGCTCCCTGACCGTCGCTCCCCTCATTTACTTCAGTCTTTTTTAACTCTGTTTACTCTTCAAATACTCCAAACGCCCAAGTCGCCATGTCACAAAGTGAATGGCAGCAAGTGCGCACTTATGCTGACCATCTGGGTCACCACGTGGTGCTCGAGCAGTACGTCACGCCAGACTACGAGCCAGACCCCGACCATATAATTCCCATCCAGGTCTACAGCCTTGTACCCCTGGATGACGACCACGAAAATCTCCGGCGTTACCTGATGTAAAGTTTCTGGATGATGAGGTCAAGCCTTTGTTCGAGATTTATTTATACTGCCCGCCCGACGACTTTGCCTATATTGAGCATAACTGCATTGAAATCGCCCGTCGCAAGCAGCAACACCAGTTAGGGGTCGAGAATCCACTCCCGCTGATTCCGCGATTCATTCGTCCTAACGACTACTCAACCGTTGGGTTTTGTGTGCTGCTACGATCGTATAGCTATCGACTGGGCTATGTCGAGGACTCGGATAAGCTTGCTAAGCTGGGCGAAGGCCCGGACTTACTCTACTTCAACCGCTCGTTTTCTAGCACCCGTAGTTATGTTAACGAGGCGTAGCGTGAATCCGAGGACGAGGAGAGTCTCTCGTCAGAGGGATTCGAATTAGCCACCTAACGCGTCACGGACCAGATTTACATCGGCCAGATTCTTATGATCGATATCTTCAACGGCGTCGGTCCCCCTCCGGAGCGATACGCGTTAGATTTAGACGAGGGTAAGACACCCAGCTCGGATCTGCCGTTAGAAGAGCAGATTCGCGACCAGCTTGGCCTAGAAACTTTAGTTAGTAGCTTCTCTCTTCATCCGGAATTCCAGGTTTCTTAGGGTGCCAACATTATAACGGTCACTAATACTCCTAGGGGCAAAACCCCCGATATTCAATACCTTATCCATACGCTTTTTCTCAGCTCCATTCGCGATATAGCAGGGCCCTCCCTCTTAGAAAGCACAGCGCGTCTATTCACAGCGTTAATGTTCTCCCACCTCCCGGCTAATAAAACCCTCACTCTCAAATTCTTCAACCTAAATTCCCCTTCTTTATCAGCTATTCGACCCGCCTAAAACGAGGTTCTCGAAATTCTATCCCGGCAAACTCAAGAAGAGGACCGAGAGAATTCATTCCCTATCGGCGCCCTACACAACATCCCCGCAGGCGACGATCAACCCCTAACAGCAAAACGCATTACTCCTCAAGAACCCGAAAAATATATCATAACAGCACAAGGGAGGTCCTGCGAGCTCTTTCGCTTGTTCACAGTTGTGCTCGATCGCGCCAAGTTTGTCTCCGAGGCCGGAGTTTACTTCTACATGGCGGACCCTTACTTGGAGGACGCTCCCGATGATACGCAGGTTTTGCGGGGCGTGGACATGAGTACGATTGCCGGACGGTTGGGGATGGTTGTTCTTGACGGGTAATTTGGTTTTGCTGGGTGGTTTACAACATGTCTTGTGCAGATATACTAGTTTTGGTTATTTCCGAGGCAGCTGAGCTCTGTTCGGGTAGGGTTATGATACTAGTACATGAACCAGTAAACTACATGTAGTTAACAATCCGGAATACATATTTATGATGAACAAACAAGATGAAACGAAGTATGTGATAATACAAAAGTATCAAAGGTAAGAAACGATATGTAGGGCAAAAGATCAGTGATGGTGTGTGTGGTCATTATTTAAAAGGGGAGGTTAAACCGGCGTCCAAGGTAGCCATTCTCGACAGCCGATTTACCGTCAATTAGCGTTGTGGTGTAGAATCAGGATGCATATGAAGTTCCAAAATACATGAAATGTTTTGGATTTCGGACAATCCCCGTGGCTTATCTCCCTCTTTTCCCCACAACTCGTTTCTCCCCCTCCGAACTCGTATATTCACTGCAAATATGGCTTCACCTCGCACCATTCTGGTCTTCCAGCATGATGCCAGTCTTCACATTCTTGAAACCACGGTGACAGCCATTTCCCCTTTCAATGCCCTCGAAGAATCCAATCGTCTACTCTTCAAAGATGCCAGCGAGGAACACCATGCCATTGTCACCGAGAAAACTATTTTCCACCCCCAAGGTGGCGGCCAACCCTCTGACACGGGCGTGTTAAAAGGCCCATCTGGCACTTTCACAGTCACGGCTGTTCGCACAGATGCTAATGGACAGGTGCTTCACCTCGGTCTCTTCGAGGGCTCATCATCTGCTTTCAAAAAAGGCGAGACCGTCCAGCAGGCAATTGATGTAGAAAAGCGTCTACTATATTCCCGTTTGCATACTGCGGGCCACGTACTAGGCGCATCAGTCCGACATCTTTTGGAGAAAGAGATTGAGAACTTCGATGAACTGAAAGCCTCGCACTTCCCCGACTCGGCAGCATGTGAGTTTCAAGGCTCAATTGAAGGCAAATGGAAGGACTCTATCCAGAACAAGCTGGATGGATATGTTGCCGCCAAGATGCCTGTTCAAATCGAATGGTGGGACGAAGAGGATTTCCGCTCGCGTGGACTGGAGCGATTGATTCCTGATCGCAGTTTGGTGCCCGCAGGTGAAAAGTCTCGTGTGGTCAACATCGTCGGCGCTGAAGTGTACCCTTGCGGAGGCACGCATGTCGATACGACAGATTTGTGTGGACCTGTGACGGTTAAGAAGATTTCGAGAAAACAAGGAAACTCGCGAGTTAGCTATGTGGTGAAATGATGTTGATTCACTTGGTCCATGTTCCAGTTTTGAGAAATACCATATAGACAATGAGTGAGCAGAGCACGACAAAAGTTCCTAATAGATCAAAATAATGGATATCTCGACGTGATCTCTCCTCACGTTGCTTTCCACCTCGGCAATATGATACAAAAAGTTCTACAGTACGTGTGAGAGCAATGGGACTATGTCAAGACCGGGCCGATGTTGTTCCCTTTCAGATGCCTATAAGGCAAGGGTCCAACAGCAAAAGGCCTCTAATAGTGCGAGTGAATACTCCAGGGTAGAAACATGATATGATGTCTAGAAGTAAGCGCTAGGTTCCTCGGGATGGCTCTATGTCCTGGAGCTGATAGTTTTCCTCCGAGGGATCAGCGCGTGAAATGAAGGGCTGCGTAAGAGCCTCCTCATCACCCAATCTAGCAAAGCCATCCGGTCCAGCAATATCAGCTTTATCATAGGGAGCGTCGCACATGACCGACCGCAGCGGTGGATAGTAGCGACGGTACGAGAACCAGGCTATCAGCATGCCCAAGAGTCCCCCACAGGTCACATCATATACATCATGTCGATAATCGGCCAGACGGGAGAGTGCGACCAGCAAAGCACACAGTAATGGGAAAAACGCAAGTAAACAGCGTCCAAGGTCTGTTCGAGGACGAAAGACATGCATTTGACCACACAAGAAGCTATAGAGTCATGATTGTTAGATTGAGCGTCCCAGCGCTGTGCGTTTGAAGAATCACTCACAGATATAAATAGCCCAGACCACCAAAAGAGAAGCTGCTATGGCCACTAGGGAAGCTCCTCCACCCCTCTTGTAGAATGTGCTGGTTGGATTCTGTGCAGACAGTCCATGCGACCAGCGCATTGTTCGATGTACCTCGGGAGGGTTTGCAGCGAGATAACAAGTCCGGACGTGGTCTTCCCGCCGCATTTTTTATTATGTCCGTCAAGAATGAGGTCAACATCAAAGCCACGAATAGCCCAAGTACTGTCACTTGCGTCTTTTGCACACCAGCGCGAAACATGGCGGACCAGGCGAGAATAACCAGGAAAGGAATCAGACCAGCGAAGATGACCGACCACACTATTACTGCTTATTAGAATCAAGAGAAGCAGACTGTGTCATGGACGATTGACTTACAAACAGGAACTCGTTCGTGGACGGCGAACGGGTACTGAATGGCCCTGTTATCCAGCGAAAACATGCGATGGAACGGGTTCACGAATAATTGAATCTATTCATGTGTTTAAAAACAAAACTTTGTGTATCCATGATTTAGATCATTTGTGACTTACTAGTACCCATCCTGCAACTAGAAACCCCAATGCGATATAGTCGGCGGCATAGGTGCGTTGCGCAAAGCGAGCTGCAGCACCAGCGAGTCCAACGCGTTGTAGAATTGGGGTCGACCCGTTCCCCGAACCATTGTGAGGCATCCTGCACAACTTCCGAGGACTTCAGAGAGATCTTCAAATCTTCACTGGGAGCATGTCAAGATTGAAAAAGGTCAAGTTGACATTCGACACATTGCGGAAGCACAGACCACGTCACCTCTCTCCGCTCTGTCTTTCGCAAACCCGGAGGCACTTCAACTCTGCTCACTTTGCTCACTTTCTCTCTCTCTTTTCTCACATACGTTACCTCCGTGCTGATCGATATGGCCGACGAGAGCCAGCAACGAGCCGTGAACACGGCATTTGCACCCCCGCCGCCCTTATGGAAACACTTTACGCGCGAGAATATCGACAAGGTGGAGCAGATCAAAGCCGAAGCTTCCAAGGGCGAAGATGGACGGTTGAATAAGAACAAGCAATGGTCAGCAGCTGAATTGCGCGCTCTGGAGCTCCCCTCAGAGCTCCGATACCTGGTGCCACCCGACATCCCTGAAGGACAATACAGCGTCTTTGGTGAATTGCAAACCGTTCGTTCACCTACATCTAGAACTCTGCACCTGACAGTACTGACTCGGAAATAGCTATCTACAACATTGCCATCATTACAAGAGCAAGGAATCGAACAGCTCTACCCAGAACCTCCCGCAGCCGGTACCGAACAGAACTCGCAGCCCTCGCCCCCTCTCAATCACGCATACTACCTTCTCAAGATCAGCAAGTCCCTGCTCCTTAACTTCCTAGAGTTTGCCGGTATCTTATCAGTTTCGCCGGAACAATTCGAATCCAAAGTCGAAGACCTGCGCAACTTATTCATCAATGCGCACCATCTTCTCAACCTCTACCGTCCCCACCAAGCCCGCGAATCACTCATCATGATGATGGAAGAGCAGCTCAATCATAGCCGAGAGGAAATGAAACAAATGGACAAAGTCAAAGCGGAGGTTGAGGGTATACTCGAGCAGTTGCAAGCAGAGGGCAGCCGCGTAAGTGCCACTGGGTCAGGGGGCGATACCGATCAGGCCAAAGCGCTGAAAGAAAAGGCCGATGAGCACTCTCGGTTGATCTGGGATCTACTGGATAAAGAAAATTGAAACCAACAATGGACTGGTTCTTCTGATTTGAACAGTTTTGCCTTTTTCCATGTTGAATGGCTGAACGTTCCTGTGAGATGTGTTCAACTGTGACGCTGGTTCCAAGGGTCAACCTCGTCCTTGAATAGCCCAACGTGGAAGAATCTCAAACCGAAGATTTATCAGCATCAAACAAGATGTCCCTCGGGATATCTATCCCCAGGCGTCTCATGGGCCCGCAAGCTCACCGGGATGTTAAATATGACACCCTGATGTGTCGATTGAATCATCGTGCGCTTCACATTATCCCAAGGCAGATGGATATTGGACCTCACCAATATCTTGGGGACATTATCCGATGTTCTAACGAGCTGCTACCATCAAAAGTACCTCGTTTCAGAACACTGTATCTGAGACCGGCTGCCTCAAAATCCGATTACATTCACCCGAGAGGCAAGCAACATGTCGGTTTTCCGTGAATTTCTGCCGGGAATTCTTGCTTACAACTACAGACTGCATCATATATGAGATATCATTCTATTAAGCACTGCTCTGACCACCTTTACCTAATGAAATCCAAATGACCCCTTCTTCCTTCTATCTCTATTAATATCTTCGTCAATTCTAAGTACCATAGCCAATAAACTCCTCACGCTAAAGTGCAGCCAATGATATCGACCCGTAAAACAATAGGAAGAAAACAATGTGCAAATCAATGAGAGGCGGCGCGCTGCTCCGCCCAGGCCTTGTCAATGGCACACTCGGCCAATCGCTTCAATTCCACAATGAAATCGGCGACCAATTTGAAGTGCACAAGCTCATTTGCAGGCAGTTTCCGTGAGAAGAGACGCTCAATCATAACTGTGGCGACATTCAATCGGCCCAAGTCTTCACGCGAATGTGGGTCCAATGGGTTCTGAAGAATGCTGCAGAAGATGGTGAGCAGCGCGGACATGGGATAGAAGATTAGAGTCCTGGGACGGATTAGCTTGGGTTCCAGATAGCATGACAAGAATCACATACCAAAAGATCCCGTCGACTACCACATGCTCTGCCGCCTCGAGGTAACATAGACTTGATCGACTGGCTTCTACTGAAAGTGCCATACTTGAACTCACCCCATCCATCATGCCACTTTGTCCTTGCATCCACGCCTTGCATCTTCCACTCGCTTGATGGATGATGGTCATGCATAGGTGATAGTTCAGACGCAGCATGACGGTGTGCATACCCATATTCGGATCTGAAGTCTCGGAAGAAAATGACATGGTTGGACGCCATTTAGGAGGGACTGACAGCCGCCATTCTTCTAGCGCGTCATCGAGTTCTCGGATTGACTTGAGCAGCTCGGCGTCTGATTTTTGGAGGCAGCTGACTGAATATAGCTCTCGATGCGCTCGGGCTTTGATGATACTTAGGCGCAAGTCAAATGGAAATACTGGACCGTACCATGGGGCTTCCTCGTCTTCCACGTCCAAGAATGCTCGATCGAGATAGCCCGGCGGAAGTGTCAGATCACAATTTTCGTCAGTGATAATAGGTGGCTGACCCGTGCGCAGTGCAAGGTCTTTATCAACGGTATAGCAAATCCAGAATAGATTCCGTAGTTGTGAATGCTTTTGCTGGCTGCGGTTATCTGTCGAGTTGGCCTGACCGCTAAAAAGATTGCCACCAAGCATGAAAATGAGTCGCGCAGCAACCGCCCCATAGTAGTTTGTTGCCCGCATATTCCCCGAAGATAGCTCGAAGAGAGTCTATGTATTCACCGGTCAGCTATCAGAATTATACACCAGAGTGGCTCACTTACCAATATTGTAATAGCCTGCGCTGCGTCTAGACTGGCAGACTCTTGTAATACTTGCGGTATAAAGAACTGTGCCTTGGTGGCAAGTAGATCATGATCGATTGGATCCGTCGTAGTCGTGCTGACAAAGTTCTTGACATCGGGGAGGCGAGAAACAAATGTAAGGAATGCAATGACACAAACTCTGGCGCTAGCTTGGCCATATATTAAGGTAGATGGCGATTGACTGTAAGCTGTGTTGATGGTATCCTCAAAAAGCTCCGGGTCTATAATAGGAAAGATGCGCCGCATCACCTTGGAGTTCTTATATGCCTGGAAGTACACCTGCGTTGTTCTCCAGTCGGGAAGTTCATAGGGATTGTTCGTGTTCATGTTCATGTTCATCAAAACAGTGTTGAAGGTTTGGCCGCGCTCTTTATCCCAAGGTGCTCGCGCTGGACTAAGTTTGTCAATTGCAACGTGCTGTCCGGTGCGAGCTTTGATCCATTCCTGTCCCTCGGGAAAGAGGAATGGCGTGCCCGTGAGTAAACTGATGACACCCAACTCTTTACCCGCAAAGTGAACTCGCACTGATGATGAGTCTGGACGCTGAATGTTACTTGGGGAGTTGCTAGCCGTTGTGTTGGCTTCGAAAGATTGAGGCGTCTCTCCAGGCACTTTTGCCAATTAGTCTCGGGCTGCTCCTAGGGCTGCATATTGAAAAGACACTATACCGGAGACTTGATCACTCATTAAGTTCTCTGCAAGAAGCTGCTCGATGCGACTAATTCTCTCCGATAGTCGCGAAACTTTGGGGCGTCTTATTTTCAACGTTAGGCACATAGAAGAACAAGCTCGAGGTACAGACTCACCCTTCATCATCGACATTTTTTCTTTTCCTCTGCACCACTCTGTCGAATGTGCAGGGAATATTATGGTGGCTGCACCAATTACACTGCGGAAGCGCAGCATCACATTTGATCTGAGACCAGTTTAGCGACGCGATAGAGAGCTGATGATGTAAGATTTACCTTTCTTTTGTAACAGGAATCACAGGCACGAGCAGTCCGTGTCCGCGGCTGATCTTCCGAGGCATCAGATGTAGGATACATGGTATATTTGCAATGTCTTCAGGAAAATTAAGCTCAAAGACGGTGGCAATGGCTGGGCCCGAAAGCCGCTGACAAAATGACCGCTGACTCAGCTCTGTCATGCCTCAGGCCCGGAAGACTATGATGTTTATAGAGTGATTTATATCAATTAGTTTGTATCCATAGATAGAATATGTGATTACTGAGCTCATATAGACTGCAATTTCTCCCTGCGCTGGCACCTGGGCACCTTGGCATGAGGCGCCGCTTACGAAGCAGGCTTGACCTCCAGGGCTTCTAGGCCCAATCTTCTAATATGTTTTCACGGGGGGTTTCAACAATGCAGGGTGGCTTCTTCGTGGCACATACCCCAAAACGGCCTCGTTCCTAAAATGTGGGTTAGTTGTCGCACCCCCTAATGTCCCATCTGTGTATGCTTTGAACGTCCAGCTAGAGACATACAAAGCTACGGCGATGAAACCCAACGAGATTAACAACGCCATTTGGAAATGGGGACAAGCGAAGCACAAAGTGCAACTGATCGGTAGCACACCCTTCAACAACTTCTGTCTTATCCTAGAGAAGGATAAGACCGGCTACCAACGTATGTACCAACTAGCAAGCGTACATCGTCTCATTGGTCCCCATGCACACAATATCGACATGGATTTGTAGTATACAAATTCGGACATAGTTAACTCGGTGTTAGTAATTACTAATACTAACTTTTAACATTGGAACCAGATGATCATATTCTCTTTGAAGGACCTTGTTGATGATGTCAATGTTGACGATATTGTCTAATCCCAGGGCCGCGACATGGTGCGCTTGGGGTATTTGGGTACCCGACCATCAGAAACGGGAATCAAATTAAATGCAGTATTCCCCATCCCCTTTTGGACCCTGATCCGCTCATATTCTCTGTATGGTCTCCTGGTCTGGACCCCTCCACATGCAACCAGACCATCCACCACCGAAATTCCCAAACAGAAAAGCATATCGATGGGGATTGAGACGAATGGCAGCCAGCTCACATCACAGTACATATGCAGCAATCGCACTCTTCATCGCCGCAGTCACAACCAAAGCATGGCTTAGATACTGATTTGATGGGCTTTTTAATAGAGCTACCGGAGCTGCTGGAAGGAAGGGTGCAGTCGAATGGGATTGAAATAGAGGTGACGGCCATGATGGAAGGCAGAGGCTTGGATCTATGGGAGATTGTCAGTCAAGTCCGAGAGAGTGAAAAAAAAAACCCCTGAAAGTTCAGAAACCAGAGAAGAGCATACCTTCAAGCAAAGATAAAATAAGGCTATAGGGCTGAGAGCAGTGGGGGGTTGGGGAAAATAAAGGGAAAAGGGAGAAAATTAGGCCCAGCAGGCAGCCATATATTAAAATGTTCAATGTTCCCACTTAACCCTCCTAACTCCTAAGAACGAGATACAAGCCCAAAACCCAGAGGAATTGAATCATTAGCTGAAACGACCATGGCAGCTTTTATTATCTTCATGTCGATCAACATGGACCCGCCACCCACGTCACAGGAATATACGGGGTATATCAAGCCTCGGAACATATCTTACTATGTATGCTATACAAACACCCTTGGATTTATTTTAATGTAGATCCCCATATAATTAATCTACTGTTCTCGAAGCGCATACTTTAGAATAAATGAATTCAATATAAGAAAAAAGAAAACTCTGCTCTCTACCAATTAACGTGGCTTCCCTCTGTAATAACGTCGTCTTCATCCCATTCAGATAACTGAAGCAGTAGTTTGGGATTCGAGCCTAGTGGCAATATCCATCACTTAGATGGGAGACTGGGCCAGAGAAGCAGCCTTTTATTGTAAAAAATAATGGCATAAATAGCATCAATTGGTCCAGGGATGGCCCAAACTGTGAGAGCGGCCCTCCTGTGTGGGTGTATTTTCCATGGCCAAGCTAGCCAAAAGAGCTACATGGTTAAGACTACGACCGGAATACCTCAATTAAAGGCAGTCATGGGCGACGTGGCTTTACATTCTCTCCACTCGCACCTCTTCCTGGATACGAATACCATCATTACTGCTTCCATACTGACCCACCAGAATCTCTTCATCACTCTGTCTATAATGAGTAATATACGACTTGGTATGCTCCTCCTGTACAAAACTAAAAGACGTGGTATCCTTGGCCAAGTTCCGCATACGAATGCGGGTGGAATAGTTGGAGTCCTCATGTTTGACATATCTCCCCTCAGAGCTTTCCGGACGCGATCCATGGACTATAGTGTGATATAGGGGGCGGACGGTGGGCATGCCAATGCAGATAAGGGTAACAGCCAGTTCAACGGCGGGCCAAATTATGAGGTCAACAGTGTCCTCTAGAAAAGGGGCACGCTAGGAGGTGGCTTACCGGTGTAGTTGGAGCTGGAAAGCCCGCCCAAGTCAATGGTTCTCATAATTCCGCAAATACAGACTCTATAACTAAAAGTTAGTCTGTATTCATAGAGGACGAGGCGAGTGACAGAAATGAAGCCCAGACTCAAGCTGATTGCGATAGACATCTTTTTCTTGAATTTCATATTAAGATTCCAAATGAAGATCCACGGAAGAAGAGCAAAATAGAAGTCCACAGCAGCACACCAGCCTAAATTGCATATCAGTATAGAGCTCATATAAAAGTAGAAGAGGATATCGAACATAAATCCATACAAAACGGAGAAAGGGGAGACTTGGACAACAATATGCCCCGGGACGCAAGGGTCATATATAGATTGAGACGGAAGACGCTGGAACCAGAAGATGATGGCAGTTATCACCGACACAATAAACAAGCTGATCATCGAGATCCATATTGAAATGCGATGCCATTGCTTGACAACAATGTGAAGCAGGAAGATTGCCAGAGACAGCTTCGCAATCGCCATTCCTAACACGGCAAATGTTTGTCCAATCATTTCGTTATACACGGCCTTCACGGCTGAGTCTATCTCCAAGATATTTATTGGTTGTCCGAATCCATGTACACCAGCAATCGTGAGAAAGACATTGTAAAGAAGTAGAAATACCTAGAGTTAGGTCAGCGTTCTATTATAGGACTACCCTTGGATGTTTTACAATGGAATGGGAAAAAGACCTACCCATGCCAAATTGAAGATATGATCGTCCACTCCAAGTGCCTTCAAGATATAGACACGTGTATAGAGCCTGAGAGGAACCAGAATAAAAGAGAGTAAAACCATTGCCCACATGACAGAAATGGCACGAACACCTTTACCAGCTAACATCTTCCAGATTCAGAAAGCAGGTTAAATTAGAAAAGCCAAGTACTGTAGAACAATGGAGCCCGGAGATTACTAAAGAGAGAGACGTTGATGTGCAAATACATTATGCTCTTGCTCCACTAAATGTCTCAATAACTTAGAAAAAATTATAAAAGAAGATTGCTATGGGATACAAGGTAACTACAAATTAGATCCAACCCATTTATACTCGGTACAAGCAAAGGTTATAGTAAAACAGTGATAGTTCTATGCCGCTCATTCCGCTCATTCCCGCACTATCGGGGGTATATTTCATATACCACCTAATTATGCGATAGCCTATGTTATATATTAAAGCAAAAACTAAACAACATCGGGTCGGGATGGTAACTTTTAGCCTGAGAACGGCGTAGTAGCGAAGTAGCGCTCTGTTAGGGAGTTTAAAAAGCCAATGGGGTAACTACAATTGGATATTCTGTACTCCATATCTCGTACTTTTGTGCTTTGGGTGCTTTTTTACAATTTGAATGGGTCTGTGTGCCTTTACAGCAGCCTATTCGACAACTGTCACGGGAGGATGACCCGTTTGGGTAAGTCAATTATGTTCTTTCTTAGTTAATTGGAGTCGATGTTTTATCTGACTGGCATTAACGGGGCCTACTTTGCAGCGCGGCTGCATCTAGGCCCAGAAATATGGAATATAGAGGATCTTCCTGCGTTTGATAACTAGCCACATTTTGATTCGCATGCCTATTTATACGGGGCCACATAGGATCGGCATTGTGAGGGGTATACAGCCCATATAAGGGCTGTCTACTCCGTATATATTATTGTATATCACAGATTTTCGAGGCTTCAGTGGTGTATCCAACTGCCCGAAACTGTCAAATATCACTACACACCATATTAAAAGAGCGGATATTTTTTGCAGCAATGTTTGGTTACGGGGATAGAGATGCTGCCACTGTGCTTGGGTATGCCTTTCTTGTAGCCCTCCCAACCTGGTATTTAACGACATATCTCCTCTCCCCCCTACGCCGTTATCCCGGTCCCTTTCTCGCAGGTGAGTTGACCAGTATCCTTCTAAAGTCCGATTTGGCGGCAGAAGGAGCTAGTACCATATTGACCTCTCATATCTCGATAGGTTGGACGAATTTATGGCGCATGTTACATGTTCGCCAAGGAAAGTACCATGTGGTCATCCACGAGCTGCACAAGAAGTACGGCCCCGTAGTGCGCATTGGCCCCAACGTGCTCGACCTGGATATACCCGGGTTGATCAAGACAGTTTACCATATCAAATCAGAGTATTTGAAGGTCTGTCTCTTACCGCAAGTGGTTACTAGTTACTAGTATTGATAATAACCTGTGACAGACCGAGTTTTATCATGGCAGTAGTGCTAAAAACAACGGAAAAATCATCTACAATATCTTCAGCGAGTGCAACCCTAAGGTGCATGCACAGCAGAAGCGGCCCATCTCGAAACATTATTCCTTGACCGGGGTGCTTTCGCTGGAGTCCCATGTCGATGATATGATTTCCTACTTGTGTCAACGCCTAGAGGAGGAATTCATTGGAGCCAATCAGACTAAAACATGCGACCTAGGTGAATGGATTGCGTATTGTAAGTTCAAAGTTCAACCCCTATACATCCATCCTTCCTATGACTTATAAATAGTCCAGATACCTGGGACGTGGTTGGCAATGCGACATTCAGCCAGCCCATTGGATACCTGGAAAAAGGGTGTGACTTTGACAAGACCTTGAGCATCGCGAATGTTGCCATGGACTACTTTTCCCTGGTGGGACAAATGCCAATTCTAGATCACTTGTTGGACAAAAACCCTGTCTACCGAATCGGCCCACCGTCTTTCGGAACCGTCGCCAACATATCAATCCAGCACCTCATAGACCGACTTCAGAACAAGGACGCCGACTACCATGACCCCAACAAGCCCGACTTCCTGGACAAATTCATCGAGGCCAAGGCGAAATTCCCAGATGTGGTGGATGATGCGCAAATCATCTCCTATCTAATGATCAACATGATTGCAGGAGCCGACACAACAGGCGTCACCATTAACGCGGCATTGTACTTCTCCATGAAACATCCTCACGTCTGGGAGCGCCTGAGAACCGAGATTCCCACCTATGACCATACCTCTGGAAGCACGGTGGTATCCTACAAATCCGCAAAGCAGTTCCCATACCTATATGCCGTGGTACGGGAATCAATGAGATGTCATCCCGGTGTCGCCATGCTTCTGGAGCGATACGTACCAGAAGGTGGACTTGCCCTCCCCGATGGAAGCGTCGTTCCTGCAGGGTCCATAGTTGGCATGAACCCTTACATTGTGGGGCGCAATACGTCTGTCTGGGGCGAAGATGCCGAAGAGTTCCGTCCAGAGAGATGGCTCCGCGATGAGATACGGGAGACCGAAGATGCGTTTCAGGAACGTTTGCAATCAATGAACAAGGTCGACCTTGCTTTTGGCAGTGGAAGTCGTAGTTGTATCGGGAAGCACTTTGGTCTGCTGGAGGTGTATAAGGTGATTGCAACTCTTGTGTCACGGTACGACATCAAGCTGGTTCATCCCGGGAAGGATTGGACGACGCATAATAGCTTTTTTGTGCGGCAGACGGGTATCGAGGTAAAGCTTACTCGCCGGAGCTGAAATACTGCAATCTACAACACGACGGGTCTGCTTAAGATGTAGAGGTACATATCCATGAATGTATGTAGCTTAGCCATTTCTACACAATCTTACACAAAAAAAATGCAAAGTTAAAGATCAAAGCATGTAGTCATTGACAGTATATACAGCAGCAACTTTTGAGGGGTTTCATCAATCATCGCCGCAGTGACTGGGGTATCGTCTAGTCATCTCGGGCTTCCAAGCCATCCGTCTATCCATTATATAAATCCTTTTTTGTTCATCAATCCATAACAGAGCAGTCGGCTTACAGCTGCTCCACCCAGGGAGCGGCACCGGGCTGCATCTGGTTCAACCACTTGACAAGCTCAATGAGCTCGACCCGACGCTCATCCTCCAGCTGATCCTCATCGCCGGTGAGAACCGACTGGAAGACAGGAAGCAGGCTGGGGGTGAGTTCGCGGATGGTGACATCCTCCCACTTGTACATCTGGCAGATCATGCGGTACAGAGGCTCGTTCTCCTCGTAGTCGTTCTTCAGGGGGAGAATGTTGACGAGGGCAGGAAGAACGTCCTTGGTGGGGACACTGTCGCGGTAACGCAAGATCATGCGGCTGACACAGCCGGTAGCGTTATCCTGGAGACGCGAGACGTCCATCTGAAGGCAAGCCTCAAGACGGGCAAGGATGGTGGGGATCTCCTTGATGATCTCAGCATCAGCGTTGGAGTGCTGAATCAAGCGGCCAACGGCGTAAGCAGCGTTGGACTTGGTCTGAGAGTCCTCATCGGCGAGGCGGTGAAGGAGCAGCTTCATGAAGACAGAGGTGAACGGGGTCACGGCGGCACCCATGCCGTTGATGCACTCAGCGAGGACACCGACAGCAGTGGCGCGCTCAAGAGACTCAGTGCTACCAGCGTAGCGGAGAATGGTCTTCTCGAACACCTTCCAGAGCTCAGCAAAGCTCTGGCCCATGGCAGCGGCCATGCCAGAGACAACATCCAGGGCGGTGTCGACAACAATCCAGTCGAACTCAGAAGATTCCTCACCAGCTTCGAGAGACTCCTCCTCAGGGCCGAACTCCACCTGGCAGATGTGCTGTTTGGTGATGATATCAGTGACCATCTGGATCACATTGTGAAGCATGGTCTCGTTGGCAATGAGGGCAGGACCGCAGAAGCGCAAGTTCTCAGCCATGTTGCGGTTGATATCGGCGACAGTGGAACTATTAATTATCGGTCAGCAATCAAGTCATTGAATCGACAGTTGATAAGTAATGAAGCAATGGTAGAAGTAGATCTCAGAATGTAGACTTCGCCGTTTACATCAAGTACGCCTTTGGCGCATCAAAGTGAGCTGGGTTAAGCGGAAAAACATCATCATAGAAATGGTTGGGCAATGGAAGAAAAGAAAGAAAAGATGGGTGAAACATACCGGTCATCTTCTTCGGTCCACATCTTGACAGTGGCCGTCATGAGAATCTCACCGAACTTCTGGACCTCCTTGGCAGGCTGAACCTGAAGGGGAAGACCAGGCTGCCACTTAGGCATTTGGCCATTCTCCTCGGCGATAGCAAAGAGCATAGCGTATGAGCGGTGCAGAGTGCTGATGGTGCTCTTGCGAACACCCTCGTAAGGGTGCTCACACAAGGGCATCACATGCTCAATGGTCTTCTCAAAGTAGGGCAGGAAGGAGCTGCGAGTGTGGGTGACGAGGTCACCGATGACCTCGACGGCAATCTCCTTCTCGAGAGAAAGAGGAGTGGTGGCGGTAATGTCATCCCACTCGTCCTCGTCTTCGAGATCAACATCCTCAATATCACCGTCATCCTCGTCGTCGGCACTTGCGACCTTCACCTTGCGGCCATTGAAGGTAACCTCCTGGCCAACAAGGTCCTTGGCAGCACTGCCGAGGTCAACATCAAGGTCGCTTTCGTCCTGTTCAATGCAATCGTACAGACCCTTCACGACACCGTCAAGGAAGGGGGCGAAGTGCTCGCCGTAGACCTTGGCCATGGCACCCCAGAAGATGTATGTGCTCTCCTTGAGACGGGAGTGACCGAGGTGCAAAGCTTCCTCAGTGGCGCGCATGAGGGGCTCAACGTACGGCTGGTAACGCTCGGGGCCAGCGGCGGCGGCCATCTCACCCATGGAGTCGGTGACACTAGCACGGAGGTCGAGTTCGTCCTCACTATCCTTGACAGCAGCGAACTCTTGGAGGAGATGCATCGACTCATCGAAGAATGAGAGGAAGGAGTCTCCAGCAGAGGAGGCGAGGGAGCCAAGAGCACCGGCAGCAAGGGCCTTGATCTTGAAATCGGGGTGCTTGAAGAGATTGTGCAGAATAGGGACAAGCTCAGCCTGGTAAGGAGAAACATCCTTCTCATCCAGACCATCAACGACAGCATCAATGGCACTGATGCCGGCCTTGATAATATCGAGTGTAGGGCCTTCCTCCTCGCCCTTGTACTCTTGCATGGCGCTGGCCAAGTTCTGGAAGAGCAAGGGCATGAGGCGGGCGTGCTCGGAACTGAGGTCTTCAACGAGGTCCTCTGCGAGACGAGCCACAGTGTGCAACGAAGCCTGGCGCACCTTGGGGTCCTGATCAGCAAGGAGCTGGAGGACCATAGGGAAGATCTCCTTCATCTGAGTGCTAATGAAGTCGGGAGCACCCTCAACACACATGCCTAGTGCCATGATACCAGCGCGACGGTAGTCAGGGTCGGGGCTGCTGAAGTACTGACCCAGTGCGTTAAGCAAGGGGACAACGACCTGGCTAGGAGGCAAGCTTTGGGAGAGCATGTCAAGGAGGCCGAGAGCAGAACGGGCAGGGGTGATATCATCATCACCAGGAGCAGCATCGCCAAGCTCGGTCACGATTTGGAGAGCAGTTCGGGTCAGCTCCTCACCAATGCGCATGCCCTGAACCTTGAGCTTACGGTACTGGATGGTCTGCATCAGGAAGCTGATGGCCTGGGTGCGGACATCCTCATCCACCTTGGTGTTGGCAGAGATCTGGTTCATCAAGATGACCAGGTCCTTGAGGTGGACAGTCAGCAAAGCAGGGTCACAACCAAGCAGAGTCTGGAAGACTTCAAAAGACTGCATGATGTTGTCCTCGTCTTGCTGCTCAATAGAGTCCTTGAGGATAGCGACCATGGCAGGGACCATCTCTTGGAAAGCCTTGACGGGAGCCTCATCCTCCTCTGAGTCAAGGTGCATAGCAAGCTTGCCCAAAGACATCAGAGTGTTGATGCGAACCTCGGCACTCTCCGGGTCTCGGATAGTCTTGTTGAAGAGGCTGAAGAGGTCCTGGAACTTCTCCTCAAAGCCTTCACCGAGAGTGTCCAAGATGGTGTAGAGAATGTAGATGGCCACAGCACGCTCAGCGGCGTTGCCATTGTTACCAGCCTGCAGCAGCAGATTAGGTAGGTCAGCCCACTCGCCGTCGTTCAAATCGATCTTCGCAATAGCGGAGATGATCTGAGCGATGGAGTGCTGGACGAGAGATGAACTCTCGCCCATAGTGGAGCGAAGCAGCTGCTCGCGGATCTGGGGCTTCTGGTCGGCGGGGACCTTCAGCCAGTGCTTGGAAACGAGCGACCGGGACTCCACAGAAGAGAGCTGGCGCAGATTCTGGTCATCATGGCTAGTGCAGATCTGGATAAGGAAGACAAGGGATTCGGGCTTGTTGTAGAACTCCTTTTGCAAGACTCCGGTGGCCTCCTTAAGGTTTCCCTGGGAGGCTACATGAAGGGGTCAGCGAGACGAACATGGGCTTCGACGTTGCAAGACGAACTCACGATCCAGGATAATCTGCAATTGCTGCAGGAATCGCTGTTGATCCATGATGGAAAGGGGGATGTGGAGGATTTTCGAGTGATTCTTTTTTTCCTTCTTCTTCGACAGTTTCAGTTGCCCCAGGTCTCTAAGAGACTCAGGCCACAGGAACAAAGATTGAGCAGTCTGTCTCAGACAAACAACTCAAAGGGGGTATCACAAAGCAATATTGACAGGAAGGAAAAAAGGAAAGAGAGAGGAAGATGAAGGAAAAAGGAGAGTGGTGGGGGGGGAGAGAGAAGAAAAGAGAAGAAAAAAAATTTAGGGGAGTGGGCTGGTTCCTGATTTGGTTTAGCGCGGGAACGATTGTCAACACGCGGGATTTGGGCAGAGATTTTTTTGATGACTTCATTTATATTGGGATTATCCAGTGATATTAGGTAGTGGGTTACTATCATGGTTATGCTGATCATTCAAACAGTTGGATTTTATCATAAAGAGTGCAATTGGAACATGATCAATAGTATACCTAGGTACCAGCTATACCTCAGGCACTGTAAACTCTATGCCTCAGAAGAGTATAAAGACTTCCCACATTGAAGGTAGAAAAATAGAAAAAAAAAAAAAGAAAATCTCTTCGCTCCAAAACTCCTCTTTCGTTCACCTTGTTTCATCGTGAGCAAACTGCGCTTCAGCAAAATTAACACCGGTTAACAAGTGCTTTGTTATGTACTGGCAACCGTGTGTCCCATGATTTCCAGAAGACCCACACACTAACGAAGCCCCAAACAACCGAGGCATCATTATTTAATATTCATCAGAGTCATAATCATCATGGCCTAGCGATGAGCGGTAGCCACGCGAAGCGAGATTGGCCTCGAGGCCACCGTCAGACGCAGGGTCAAAGTAACCTAAATTCGTCAGTAAAGTTCACATTATTCAAGAGTCATGGGCCATTTTGCACATACCACCGCCGCCAAAGTAGCTCAGAGCTACTGGTAAGAAGATGAGAGCATGTGTAGCAGCAAAAACGACTAGGGCTAGCCACACACGGAAGTAGTAGATCTCGAAGATCTTGCTCCGAGTAAAGGCCAGGACGCAAACTCCTAACAGTTTTGTCACGGTGATACCACTAAAGACAGACCCACCAACATTGACCAAGGCCGCCCATGCTCGAGCGTCCTTACCACGGAATTCGGCGGGCACCTTCTCCATAATGGGTCGAGCGGGGAACATGAATGCTC